AGCGGCCCTCTCTGTGTCTTCACATCATCTTTCTTCTTCATGCGCCTGTGTCCTTGTGTCCTTATAAGGACACCAGTCGTGTTCGACTACAGCCCACTCCAATGACCTTACTTTAATGAATTACCTCTTTAAAGAGTCTATTTCCAAATGCTGTGATATTCTGAGGTGCTGGGGGTTAGGGCTTCAACATGTGTATGAATTCTGGGGAGACACAATTGAGCCCATAATGGATATCATGTTAACATTAGAACCTTGTCTTATTAATTGGGCCTATAACAAGGGTAATTGTTAATAGCAATTAGTAATTAGCAAAACTTTTTGATACATATTGTCCCTATCCCTATATTTGGTATTAAAAACTCAAAAAAAAAATATATATTTTTTCTTTCTTTTTTTTGATAGGGACTTGTTCTGTCACCCAGACTGGAGTGCAGTGGCACAGTCTTGGCTCACTGCAACCTCCACCTCCTAGGCTCAGGTGATCCGCCCCCATCAGCCTTCTGAGTAGCTGGGACTACAGCCATGTGTCACCATGTCTGACTAATTTTTGTGTTTTTAGTAGAGATGGTGTTTCGCCATGTTGCCCAGGCCGATCTTGAACTCTGGGCTCAAGCAATCCACCTCCCTTAGCCTCCCAAAGTGCTGGGATTTGACATGTGAGCCAGTGTGCCAGGCCACAAGATGTATTTGTACAAAGAAATGATTTCTTGCTATAACATTCATGACAGCTCTAAGATGCTGGGATTGGAGTTTAAAAATTGTAGATTTAATTGCAGGCCCATAGAAGGTTTTCCTAATGCACCTCATACCTTAAACTCTCTTTAAACACATTGGATACTACAGTATCCAGAAGACTGACTTAACTTTTTACCGGTTTTAATATTTCTCCTGTGATATGTGTTAGGAAACCATAGACTTGTTACTTTTACTGAGTATTTTCCTGCTATTAGACATGATTGGCTGGGCATGGTGGTTCACACCTGTAATTCCAACACTTTGGGAGGCTGAGATGGGTGGATCACCTTGAATTCTTGGTCAGGAGTTCAAGACCAGCATGACCAACATGGTGAAACCCCATCTCTACTAAAAACACAAAAGTTAGCCAGGTGTGTTGGCATATGCCTGTAATTTCAGCTACTTGGGAGGCTGAGGCAGCAGAATCACTTGAACCCAGGAGGTGGAGGTTGCAGTGAGCCAAGATCGCACCAGTATACTCCAGTCTGGGTGACAGAGTGACACTCTGCCAAAATATATATATATGAATATATGATCTAGGCTGGTGGTTCTGAGACTTGAGCATGCATTAGCATCTCCAGGAGGGTTTGTTGAAACAGAGAAACAGACAGCTGAGCCTCTGCCCCAGAGATTCTCATTTGGTAGGTCTGGGATGGAGCTAAGATTCTGGATTTCTGACATGTACTCAGCTGGTGCTGATGTTGCCAGTCAGACCAGACTACGAGAAGCACTGGTTTAGGAAGTTGCAGGTGAGGTGATGGAAAACCATCTTTCCGTGTTTCCTCATCTTTGGGGCTTGAGGTGCTGGAAGGCAGCCAGGCTAATGTGGGTACATCACTGACACCTTCCAGTTACAGAAAGACAGGGAGTCAGAATTGTCAGAATACACTGTGTGACTGGGACCAGCTCTTTAGTATTTCTTAATCCTTACACAAACCATGTGGTATTACCCACTCTGTGTGAGGCCTGCTTCCTCTTGACCTATTCTTCAGTCATTTTGTTTCTGTTTTAGAACAGAGGGGCTGGTACAATATTCTTTTTAACAGTTATCCCAATTGCACCTAAGTCTTGAGAGAAAAAACACTGACCCAGTCCTTTTCTGTTTAACTGCAGGCCTGTCGAAGATTCCCCTAATGCATCTCATACCTTAAGCTCTGTGCTGCTTTTCATACACATACATTTCTGGGGCCCAGTGCTACCTGTGACCACTTCTGCTTTGGGGTCCCAGAGCTCCTTGCCGAAGCTCAGCCCTGGGGCCCACACTCACCTCTCTTCCTGATGGCCTTAGCCTCCTGTTTGGGGCAGTACACTCAGACCATGCTGTTAGGATTGATGGATTTTTAGTCCCCCAAGTAACAGTGAGTGCTGAATTGACAAGTGGACATGTGCAGAGAAGGAGGCCAAGGCAGAGCAAGCTCTCTGCTTCCCCAGCATCCCTTCTCCGCTTCTTCCTTACTGTGATGGTCTGAGTTTTTGTGTTCCTCCCAAATTAACATGCTTAAGTCCTAACACTCAAGGTGATGGATTAGGAGGTAGGACCTTTGAAAGGTGATTAGTGCCCATATGAAAGAGGCCTGAGAGTGACACCTCATCTTTTCCATCATGTGAGGACACAGCAGAAAGGCTCTGTGAACTCCCCACCAGAACCCGAATCTGCTGGCACCTTGATCTTGGACTTCCAGGCTCCAGAACTGTGAGCGATACATTTCTATCACATAAGCCACCCAAGTCCATGGTATTCTGTTATGATAGCCCAGATGGACTAAGACACTTACTGAGCAGACCCAAGGGTTGCATAGGGTGGTGATGTGTGCAGCTAAACACTGTGCCAGTGCTATTGTAGCTAGGGACAGTGTTGTGACCTGATACTGGCTCATGACATACAAGAGTTCTGTGCAGGGGTTCTGAGCAAACCTTTAAAAGGAGGTCTGGCTCAGCTGGGTGCTTTTATTGCCCTCTGCCCTTCACCCTTTTCCTTTCTTCCTTCCTGAAAGGCAGGTGCTAAGCTTGGAGGTGCAGCAGCCGCTGCACTACAAGGCAGGCTCCACGCTGAGCAAGTTGGAGCAGGAGCCTGCCTCCCCAGTGGCAACCCCAGTAGCTGCTGAACTACAGACTTCCTCTCATGTGAGGGAAAAAAAATCCTACTAGACTCTGCCTGTGTTTGTCAGATTTTCTTGCTGCCTCCATCAGCACAAAGTCTGAGAAAGAAGAGAAGTGACTGGGAAGTGACATGTGAATGTCCCACCACTGATGACAGTAATGAAGATCAGCAGAACAGCAGCCACGCGAGCAAACATTTCCTGAGCACTGACTCCAGGTCAGGCATGATGCCAGGCTCTTGACATGCATTTTGCAGATGAGGCATCTAAGGTTCAGAGGGTTTTAGTAACATGCCCATCGCAGCCAGGAAGGGTAGAGCTGGGATTCACAGCCAGGCCAGTCCAGCCTCCCTAGCCCTCATCAGGACTCTTGATCTCTCTAACTTGGTCCCCAGGCCTCTGGCTTTGGTGTCTAGAGTCAGGCCTTAGGCACCTGCCCACTTTTAAGGCCCTGGCTTTCATAGCTTTTATCCCCTCCACCCTCCCCTATCCCTTCCCTGCAAACACAGCTGCCCCTCCAGAGTTGGGCTGGGGTTGGAGCCCCCTCTTCCCCTGCTGTGCCCACCCTCGCCTGTCTGGTGACTCCTGCAGGACAGGACTTCTCCACCTACTATTCCCTGTGTTCTCCTGCTTCGTCTTCCTTATCAGAATAACAGGCATGGCTCTTCTTAGAGTTTTGATTTTTCAGAGTTGCAAATGCATCTGCTCTTCACATTGTATCTGTATCATTTTGATTGATGTCAGTTTCTAGAATGCCTTAGGCACTGGAAACAAGTACCAGAGGAAAACAACATATAGAAAGAAAAATATGTGCATTATTATATACTGGCTATTATTAAATCATAAACAACATTATAAAGAAAAATGTGTACCGTATTGATAAATGATAGAATCTTGGAGTTGAAAAGAATCTTGGGGCACCATTCAGCCTCACCCTTTCCCCTGAGTCTGAAAACCCAAAAGGTGAGCTTGGTGGGTAGGGGATCAGAGTGCTTGCAAGGGAACTGAGGCCTGAGCATTCTGTATAGAAAGAATAAATCCTGCATCTTCTATGCACGTGTTCAAGAACTTTTGAATGTTTCAAGACACTGTTGTAATTGATAGAATATGGATTCCTTTAAAAGCATCCCTGAATGTAGAGGTTTTAACCATGATGCATTTTCTGGTGTATGTGTGTGTTTAAGGGGTCGTCATATCCAGGGAGTTATGCCTCCTTCTCAGGCAGACCTGCCACGTGCTGCTCACTATCCATGAAAACTCCTTGGGAGACTCAAAACCAGCCTTATCTTGCATCCATCTCTGCCTCTGGGTCACTTCTGCCGTTGCCATGGTCCTGTGTAGTGTGACTGAGAAATCAGCCTTTGGAAATCAGAGTCTGTGTCCTCGTCCAAATGTGTCCTGGCACGTTTTACTCATTCTCATCTTGACCTAGGGTGACAGCTTGTCCTGGTGTGCCAGAGAGTATCCTGGATTTAAAACTAAAAGTTCTGGGTCTAGAAACTGAACTGGAAAGTTCACTCCCAGGAAAACTGGAGTGGTTGGTCACCACTGTCTACTCTCTTTCAGGCTGAACAATGACATTTTCTAAAATGTTTATAGCATACAAGGTGTCTACATCCCGCCATCCTGGTGGCTCATGCTCCAGTTCAACAATGTCACTCTGACATGCTGCATCTTGAGCTGAAGGAGATCCTCTGTGTTGAGGTTGTGGGTCTGTCCATCAAGGCGTTCAACTTTTAACCAACTGTTCCACAACACTGGCTTATAATGCATGTGTGAACAATTAAAGCCACAGGATGTTCTTCTATCAGGTCACGTTTCCCACCTCCACCCTGTACTTGGCAGTCTTTTGATCTAGTGGCAGTTTATTTTAAATTTAATTTAACTTATTGGCTTGAGACTAGCCAATGTCCCTTTTCAGGTGATGTTAGAAGTGAGTCCGTGGCCCATCTTATTGGTGGTCTTGCCCAGGTATGTGGCTTCTGCACATTTGGTAAACACACCTTCTGTGGCCTCATCCAAATTGTCGATACAAATGTTTGGCACAGACCCCTGGGGTACATCATCTGAGACATCCATTGAGATTCACATCAAGCTGTCAGTTAATAATCTATATTTTCTTGTTCAGCTACCAGGGAATAGATCTAATTGTATTTTGTCCCTTAGGGGTGACTCCAGAGGCTTCGGGCACCTGCTGATGAAAAATCAAAATCTCTTATTGGCTGAAGCATATTCCAGAAAGGCTAGGATGCCACCAAGTCAACACCACTCTAAATAAGCACAGGTAATTGAGACACTGACCCTATAATTATGTGGGTGGTTTACTCCCAGCAAAGGCCTAATCCTCAATTGGCTCCTCTTTGCCACTCATAGGTCTCTGAGTCACTTCCTTTCACCAGCCATCTTTAGTAAACTCCTGGGGTGTTACAATCAATTTGCTGAATATTTCAAGATTTTATTCCATCACATGAAGAAGTAGAGTAGTGGGATGTACCTTCAAGTATAACCTCTTAGAATTTGTGTTTTAACTTTTTTGTCCCTGTACCTGTGACCTTTTTAAAAAAATTGAGTTAATACCTACAGATAAATGCCAAGATCCTAAGTATGCAGTTCCTTGTATAATCCTTGCCCCTGGCACCCCAGTCAAGATACAGATCCTACCTGTCACCCCAGAAATGCTTCAGTGCCCCCTTCCAGTCAGTTTCCTCCTCACCCTCATATGGCCTAAGACTCTACCAATCTAACTAGTTTTAGATACCATGCAAATATAACCAAAGGTGATTAGAAAGAAATGCCTATAAAAATAAAATAAGACCTATATACATGTTTTGAAAGTAACAACAGTTTAGCATTTTCCATCTCCGTTTATGGCACAGGTGACCAAGTGTTTACTGCATTGTTTTCTCGTATTTTCTATTGCCTAATTTTCTTTGAATAGTTCAGTGTCATACTAATTAAAATGTTTACTCTGTGTTGCAACTTGTAGTATCTTAAAATAACATATATGTAAAATTGAACCTAAAAGTGGGGCATAATCTGCTGGAACATAAGAGTCTGTAGGTGTACAACAACCAGTGTCATCATTCCTGGCTGGTAGAACTGTCTCACGAGGCCTGCAGCCAGCAGAGGTGCGCAGGTGCAGGGGTGGATATTGGCTGGCCTCCACCTGGCGGTTTGTGTTGGCTGCTGTTTGTGGAGACCTGCATTTGTAAGAGCTTCCCTAACTTCTGTGGCTGACATGCCTGCAAGCATCTGTGGAATGTAATTAGTGCAGCCCAGCCTTGCAAATAGTGAAGTCTTCTCTTGTTGCAGGAGATGAACTGGACTGACCCATTCATAATATGTGGATAGAAGATATCTACCTATATTTTTGTACTTTGCAAAGAGTGTTCAATGTTCATTAATATGATGGTGACCTTAGGAAAATTCTGGGAAGTTCTTTAAATCTGATAGCAAATTATGTTTTAGCTATCCTGTCTTAAGTTCAGCTTTAGTGTTTGTGATGATTAATTTTATGTGTCAACTTGATGGAGCTAAGGGATGCTCAGCTCACTGGTAAAATAGTACTTCTGGGTGTGCCTGTGAGGGTGTTTCTGAGAGAAATTAGCATTCAAGTTGGTGGACTGAGTGAAGAGTGCCCCTCCACAATGCGGGTGGGCATCATTCTGTCTATTGGGGGTCCAAATAAAACAGAAAGACAGAGGAAAGGCAAATTTGCTCTCTGCTTGAGCTGGGACACCCACCTTCTGCTGTCAAACACCGGCTCTCCTGGTTCTTAGGGAACTTGGACTGGAAGAAACCTCACTGGGTTGTCTGGATTTCTAGCTTGCAGACGGCAGATCTGGAGACCTCTCCGCCTCTGTAATCCATGAGCCAATCACTTATAATACATCTCTTTCTATATATCTCTATATATCCTCTTGGCCTGTTTCTCTGGAGACCCCTAACCAATACAGCATTTTGCCTAACTATGGTAAGGTGCTACTTAGATCCCTGCATAGCAATGAAGAAATAGTAGTAGTAACAGCAGTAATGAAAACCGCCATGACAATAATAGCAACCACTTACTACTGCTCACTATGCTGGCAGCTGTGCTGAGCAGCTTGTATAGATCTTCACAATTCCCACAGCAGTACCATTTATAGATCAAGTAATTGAAGTAAAACAGGTGAAGTAACTTTCCTAAAAGGATAAACCACATTAAAAGCAGAATTTGTATGAGGTGTACCTTTCAGTGTTCCAGGAGGAGATGGCTGGTGTATTTAAACTGAAAGATTGGAGCCAAGCATGATAAATAAATAAGGGAGTTTGTACATGTATGAGGAACTGCATCTGGATGTGTTCCTGAGTCTGTCTGTCTGTCTGGACCATTCTGTGCTATGATGTCCTTCTAATATTTCTAGCTCTCATAATAAGTCATATTATCTTGAAGAGTGAGTCTCTGGCTCCCCTGCTCCTCCTCCTCCTTTCTCTTTCTTCTTCAATTTTTTTCCTAGCTGTTGTTTTCTGCTTATTCCTTGCATTAATTTGAAGATGTACTTGAAAAGTTCTATGAAAAAAAAATGTGGAGGCTGGGCGCGGTGGCTCACGCCTGTAATCCTAGCACTTTGGGAGGCTGAGGTGGGTGGATCACCTGAGGTCAGGAGTTCAAGACCAGCCTGGCCATCATGGAGAAACCCCATCTTTAAAAAAATAAAATTAAATTAAAAAAAAAATGTGGATGAGGTGCATTGGCTCACACATGTCATCCCAGCACTTTGGGAGGCTGAGGCTGGCAGATCACTTGAGTCCAGGACTTTGAGACCAGCTTGGGCAACATAAGTACTACCCTATCTCTACAAAAATGAAAAAGAAAATTAGCCAGGCATGGCGGCTTGTGCCTGTAGTCCCAGCTGCTTGGGAGGCTGAGATGGGAGGATTGCTTGAGCCTGAGGAGATTGAGTCTGCAGTGAGCTGTGATTGTACCACTGCACGCCAGCTTCAGGGTCTAGACAAAATATATATATATATACATTTTTTTTTTTGAGGCAAGGTTTCACTCTGTCACACAGGCTGGAGTGCAGTGACACGATCACAGCTCACTGTAACCTTGACCTCCCAGGCTCAAGCAGTCCTCCTACCTCAGCCTCCCAAGTAGCTGGGACTACAGGCATGAGCCACCACACTCGGCTAATTTTTTACTTTTTGTAGAGTTGGGGGTCTCACTATATTGCTCAGGCTGATCTCAAACTTCTGGGCTAAACCAGTCCTCCCACCTTGGCTTTTGAAAGTGCTGGGATTATAGGCATGAGTCTCTGCACCTGGCCAAACTATCGTCTTACTTATAATAGTTTTTAAAACTCTCTTGGATTTTCTATACTAAGGTAGTAAAAATTCTAAGAAGGCCCCCAAGATTTTTGCCTCTTGTACATAACCCATATAATCCCCTTCCCTTGAGTGTGAGTAGAACCTGTGAATATGATGGGATAGTCACTCCCATTATTACGTCGTACCATTTAAGACAGTTCTAGGTGACCAAAGGGAGAGATTCTCCTGGTGGCTTTGAATATAAATAAGTAAGCTGTCACAGTGTAGGCCAAGTGACAGGGGACTGCAGGTGGCTTCTAGGGGCTGAGAGCACACCCCAGGCAACAATCATCAGAAAATGGAAGCCTCAGTGCTACGATCCCAGGGAACTGAATTCTGCCAACCACATGAATTTGGAAAAGGATCGTAAGCTCCAGCTGAGAGCAGAAATAGGGCCCCACCTTGATTTCAGCCTGCTGACACCCTGAATAGAGATACAGACTTCAGACCTACAGAACTGTAACATAATAAATGTGGGTTTTTAAACTGCTGAGTTTGTGGTTATTTGTTACCCAGCAACAGAAAGCACTGCAAACATTCATAGTGTTAGCAATTAATGGCAAGGTTGTTTCTTTCTTTCCAAACCATATACATTTTCTATTTTTTTCTGGCCTTATTTTGCTGGGTGAAAGCTTAGGTTAAATAGAAGGGATGATATTGAAAATCCTGAAATTTTTCTTGAATTGTAAGGTAATTCTTCTAATGTGTCTTCATCAACTATAATGTTTTGTAATCTTTTAGAGGACATCTTTGAGAAAATCATGAGCTTTACCTTGTCTTCTTACTTTGCTAAGAGTTTATTTTCCAATTACAAACAAGCTTTAAAGTTGTTAAGTGTGTTTTCTAGAGTTATTGAAAGAAATACACTTTTTTTCTTTTTTAACATGTTAAGTTAGTTTCTACATTGATAGATTTTCTGAAGTTAAGCCATCATTTCATTCTGGGAATAAATCCTAAATTTAAAAATATAGTACAATGGCAGATTTAGATTGCTAATGTTTTATTTAAGATCTTTGTTTTCTTCAAAGGATTGGTAAAACAATTGTAAAACCATCAAGGACTGTTGCTCTTTTTTCCTTCTTACATAGACATTATTATTTAGATCAGTTTCAGGTTCATAGAAAAACTGAGCGAAAGGTACAGAAAGTTCCCATATTTCCTCAGCCTCTTCCACAATCAACATCCTGCACCAGAGTGATACACTTATTACAACTGGTGAGCCCACATTGGCACGTCATTATCAACCAAAGTACATAGTTTACATTAGAGTTCACACTTGGTGTTGTATATTCTATACAAATGTGTAATGACATATATTCACCATTGTAGTATCATGTTACTACAATGTGAATATTACAATGTATGATACTACAATGGGTTTGGACAAATGTGTAAGGACATATATTCACCATTGTAGCATCATACATAATAGTTTCCCTATCACAAAAAGCCTTTGTGCTCTGTTGAACATATCTTCAACATCTTTCATTCCTCCCTACCAATCCCTGGCAGCCACTGATCTGGAAAAGGCATCAAATGCCTTTTCCAGGATGTTGCGTAGTTGGAATGGTATAGTATGTAGTGTTTTAAGATTGGCTTCTTTCACTGAAGAATATGCATTTGTTTTCTCCATGTCTTTTCATGGCTTGGTAGGTAATTTCTTTTTGGCACTGAATAACATTTCATCGTCTGAATGTGCCACAATTTCTTTATTCATTGACCTACTGAAGGTCATCTTGGTTGCTTCCAAGTTTTGCCAATTTTGATAAATAAAGCTGCGATGAACATTCATGTATGGGTTTTTGTGTGGCCATAAGTTTTCAGCTCATTTGGGTGAATACCAAGAAGCACAATTGCTGAATCATATGGTAAGAATATTTTTAGTTTTGTAAGAAACTGCCGCTGTCTTCTAAAGTGGTATATCATTTTGAAAGAGTG